TAGTCAGTTTATGTTAATTAAGGAAATATTTTATTTATACTGAAGATAAAACTCTAAAATATTCGTAATTTATTAATGATAACATTGTGGCCGTAATTGTTTAGCAACAATATCAATAATATTAATTTAGTAACATAAATTTATTCATAGTAAAATGTACCATTTGGCGGGCCGGATACGGCCCGCGGGCCGCCAGTTGGACATCCCTACTCTACAACATACTACAAGCTCAAGGTCATCGGGTGCGGGCGATTAATCTACACTTTATTAAATGTATAAAATTTTGTCCAAATCCAATCTAAAAATTGTTACAATATTTATCGGTCATGAGACATTTTGAATTTTTGTAGAATTAATTCAATGTATTAGTGAATTAATTTTTTGGTATCAACCGTCTATGTTATATCACCTCCTTGTAGCTTTAGTGGTAAATTACTTGTGCGTAAAATCAGAGGATCCGGGTTCGATTCCCGACAAGAGAGTAACAGTGGTAACAATTTTTCCTGATTACTTTGAGGTTTTCTGCAGTGGATTCACTAATACATATCGGTTCTGATAATATATTAGTGATGATTTCTCATCTGGCAGAATTTTGGTGGACCAATGCTGTTACTTCCTGTTATAATAGTTTCCACCAAATTATTTAATATTTATAATAATTATTACTTTCTTTCAACGATTTCAACTGTTTTGGCGAAGATCCGTTGGCAAAAAGTTGCGATTTTTTGAACGGCCATTTGAACAAGACTTAATGATTGTTTTGGGACTTTGGTGAGGATGGTATTTAATAGAATTAGTCATAAGGTTACGGAATGGATGTTGAATGGAGGTAGAGGGGTTTAAGTCGGTAGGTTCAAGGACTTCTTCCTCGGGAATCCGACACTACCCAGTCGTACGGACGGCTGGGTGTCTTTTGAAAAATTCCCCTCTTCCACGAAAACATAAAAAAAAATGTTGAATGAAAACGGCTGAAAAGGACCTTAATTGGTACTAGAACGGTCTGAGGTAGAGGGGTTTTAGTCGGTAGGTCCGAGGACTTCCGACACTACCCAGTCGTACGGACGGCTAGGAGTCTTTTAAAGATTTCCCCACTTCCACGAAAACATAAAAAAAATATGTTGAGTGGAAACAAAACGTACAGTAAAAATCGACCTTTAATAAAGGGCATGCGGCTACGTCGAGTATGCCTAGACGTAAGAGAAAAGTTTTTTGTAACATCTCGACAAAATTTTTGATTTTTGAATCCTCCGCTCCTACTGGTGGATAGTCTTAAAATCCGCCCCTATTAGGTCTACGAAAAGTTGCCGTCATTATAGGAGACAGTAACACAAATGTATACAATTGTTGACTTACTTTGGTTTGCTGATTAATATGTACCTTCTAAAAAAAAATTCTATCTGCTTTGCATCTTTAGTAACTTTAAAAACTGGCATTGAGAAAACCCGGCAACTTAGGGCGAAACGTTGCCGGTTGTTTTTTGAAAAATAAAAATATATTTTAACTCCTTTTGATTCTGATATCACACTATTATAAATACAAAAATTTAATCAAAAATCGGTTGTCTGTAAAGTCGGTTTACTGACGATAATTGAACGTGACAACGTCATAAGAAAATACTGATGGAATGGTTTCATTTTTCAAGAAAAAATTTTTGTATTATTTGTTTGATAGATATTTTGTATGGATATAGAGAAGGAGGTAAATGGAAATGTATTATTGTATAGCAGCTGTCCACGCGGACGCATCGCTCACTCAAGTAGGAGAGAGACAGATGTCGAACGCTGCCGAACGCGGAGGCCGATTGT